GTAGAACTTAAATCCCAAGGATCTAATAGCAACATTTCACTTAGCCGCTAATTATAGCAGAACTGAACATTTAGGCATCAACTGAGAATCACTTAAGAATTGTATGAGAGACCATTAAAAGCGAATGCAGACAGGTACAATACCTAGATTGTCAATATACATGCCACAGATCAGACAATCAGTGTGTTTCTTCTATTTACCTGGTCTGCATTCTGGGATGTGGATTCTCATATTCATTAAGTGAATACTGACTGCCAATGTCTTCAGTTCTCAGTTCACCACTTTTCAAACACACATCAAGTGATTCATGTATGATCGGTTTTGCCGTATATACATTCACTCAAAACAAGAAACAGCCACCTCCACCCCGTAGAGTGGAGAACAACACAGAATCGGGATGTTAATGCAACAGCACAAAATCGACAAACAGAGGCAGATGACTGGTTTACTGTCCATTCCAAATGTATGATTTATCTCCTCCATAAGCCTTTTTTTTTTTTCTGCAACATTAAATACAGCAAGAAAGCAAGCAGGAAATCCGTCCAAGTCACAAATGATGCAATCAGGATTTACTCCCAGACACAGACTTATTCATCGTCATTGCTGGTGTTCTCAGCAAACTAGACATACAAACAAATGCCAACTGGAACTGGAAGCATCCCAAATAAGAACCCCCAGCTTTATGTGCACTAGTGTGGCAAAAAAGTAAGCAGAATTAAAAAGACATTACAGGTTTAGATTTGCTGATTGATTTTGGGTTGACCATGAAATATATTATTTCTATCTGTAGAGGAAAAACAGACAACAGGCTGTCTAAAATGACCACTTTAGCTGGGTGCACATAATGCTGTGGTAAGTTTAAGAGGAATAACAAAGACAGCCTTGTGTTAATGCCAATCTTACCACTTGATGTTCCTTTTCAAGTAGTCATAGCTAGTGTAAGAGCCAAGAAATCTATGCGGTGGCAAAGCAAATGTGACAGAAGAATGAAAGAAAAGGGTCATTCTACCTTTACGCAAATCAAGACTTGCAAGATTTTTTTTTCTTTTGAAAATACTTACACAAAGTCTACCTACTGAAGAGTGACAAACTCCTAATCTAAGAAGGTTATTTATAGAAAACATTGAAAAAGCAGTGCATTGCTGGCATTAAGAGAGACAAGAGGAAAGGAAACTTGAAGCGATCCCTATGATCTATTTAGGGAAGACATAGTACATAAGCCACAGTGATCACATAAGCATCGTTATCACACACTGGATTATATAACAAATGATGATTTAATAACAGTTCAGATAGCACAAATAACCATTCACACAAAGGCTTTCATTGCTTCCACTTGCATCACAGTCTACAGATGAATAATTGCTTGCTAAAGGATATCTTATGCTAAGCTTTATAAGGTCTCTTCCTAAGTTAGAAAAGTAATTCAAATCGAGATTGGCACAAAATTTAGGAGAAATCCAGAAAAAACCAGAAAATTCTCATAACATTTATTTGGTTCTGGGCCATTACTATTGCTGGTAGTAAACACATTGATCAGGCACAATCATCAGCAGGTGACTAGGACATATGCCTGATGGTACATGATCGATATAAGCCAGTACATGAAAATATTTTGGAAATCTGTATATCTGCATTAATGTTTTAAAAGTCAAAGTTGAAAAGAAACGTTTGCACCCCAAAGATGAATGCAAAGTCACTGAAGCACTGAAATGCTTAACTACTGGACAAAAAAAATAGGGATCCACAAACCTGCACATGTAAAGTTAGCCATAGGCGGTTCAAATCTCAGCCAGTTCAGCAGGGACTGGCCAAGATTCTAACCATTATGAGCAGGCTGAATGTACCCAAGTTGATCAATCAGCTTGCGTACAACCAGTCTGTTGGGTTTTACATATGGTTACTGCTAGAGACCGTTATATAGCTACTAGCAGTAATCACTGAGTTGTCCTGGTGGGGACGGTCCCTGGCGGTGTTGTTGATGGGGGTATCCAGCGATTTTCTTTCCTGCAGCCCATGGTTGTAGGAAAGAAAATCGTTCTGTCTATGGCCAGCTTAAAGATAGCAAAAATAAGCTGAAAAAGTGAGGCTGTCAGTGGCTTCTGTCTGACATATTCTGTCAACAAATGTGACACTGAAAAACCTTTGCCATTGTCCCTTACTCGCACCAAGCTGTATGGCAAAATGTGATAAACAGCTTAATACAAAATTGTAGAGAGAATAATTTGGTATGGGCACCATAGTCTGCCAAAAACGGATATTTCAGTTACTGACAGATGCTGCATCACCCCACAGCCTTGGTTTTTGTTTCACTCAAGGTCTCCAATGATGAGATCTGCTGTAGTTTCTGGTTTCGCTCTCCCCAAAAAATGGAGTCTTACTCCTGAAGCAAATGGAAATGTTTACATATCTCTTTAAAAAGGAAAGATCTAACAAGAAGAATGACCTACTCATAATGGCTAGCATTACAGGTCTTTTTTTTTTCCGATTCCCTCGAAAAGAAAGAAGCAAAGGGTGACGCAACGTGGCAATACACTACCTACAACTGGAATATTTTGATGGGTTTAGCCTAAGGGAACTTGTTACTTTTTCTCTGAAAATTCTGCAAGAACAGACACGGTGCTAACTGATAAAAGAATAAGAACTACTGTAATTAAAATGGAACAATTAGCAAAATCAGAAATTACATATATGATACAGTCATGTACTAGCATTACCACAGCACTTTTGTTTACACGAATCCCTAACTGAACATAGTTTCATTACCAAATGATCCTGCCAGTGGATTCCTGTTGATCTTCCAGTAGAACAATTATATTTAACGTCCTTTAACATACTAAGCTGTCTACCAAAGTGAAATGTTAGATGGTTCAGGAAAATACCAGTTTAACACAGACAAGGGTTTTACAACAATCTTTTAATAAAAACTTGTCGTCCCCCCCCATCCCCCAAATAAAAAAAAACTGAATTGCTATTTGGGGTTAGGCTTGAATTTTTTGTCATTACTTAGAGGTTGATTTACTGAAACTGGAGAGTACAAAATCTGGTGTCCGTGGTAGCCGATCAGCTTCTAAATTCAGCTTTTTCAATTAAGCTCTGACATAAAAAACTGGAATCTGATTAGTTTCTATGCAGAGCTGCACCAGATTTTGCACTCTCCAGTGTTAGTAAATCAACCCCTTAATGGAAAACTACATCTAAGACTACCCTGTCCACAGGATGACAATGTTGTGCAATTTCACTGCAAAAGGAACAGTGATGTCACCTCCAGAAGAAACTGGATAAACAGATCTACTGTCAGGATCAAAAGTTAATAAAAACAATGTTAAGGGGAACTCAGAAAAAAACAACTACTGTAAATATGTATTTTCCCATTTTTATTAGTATAGTTCCACTTTAAACCATAACAAAAAGGCAAAACTATTTTTAGTTTTGGACAGAGTGGAGGGGGATTAAAACACCCGTCAGATATTTATTGCGGTCTGTGCCACGGTTTAGAAAGATTCACCCTCTGCTTTTGTCCTGTTTACCATTATTATTGAGAGTGAAAGTAAAAGAATATCCCAAATTATGGGTTGTCACCAGAACAGAAACAGAGGGGAAATCTTACAATGAGGACAGTGTTCTAGTTCTAGTGATCCCGGAGACAACCAGGGATTCCCTCACTTTCCATTTGTCTATAGAACAGGAAGTGAAGGGCAATCAACCCAATGAAACACAGTTCGCAAAAAAAAAAAAAAAAAAATCTGTCAGTGGTTTTAACTGTCCCTTCTCTATTCAAAATAGTAAAAAAAAGTTTTGCCTTCAGTTCTACCAATTCTCTCAAGGATGAATATAAAATGAATAAAATGTGTACACTATTTTTCTCAAGACACATTGAGATTTATTTTTCTAAAGGCAAACAGACACTGCACTTTGGGAGTTCAAGTGCACTTTGCAATTGCAGTTGGTCCAGAGCTTAGTAAATGAGGTAAAGCTTCACTTCGCAAAATATACCCTATTACATGCAAGAAAATAAAAAGCATTTTTGCTTGCACATGATTGAATGATGGAAGGCATCAGCACTTTCCCTCAATTACTAAACACTGAAGCAAATGCACTTGCAATAAGCAGTCTATCTGCCTGTAGTAAATCAACCCCATTGAATCCCTAAAATACAAACACTCTGAGGCATACCAATCACACACATACACACTTCTGCACCTATTATTTAATCAATAAGAAAAGCAGGTGTGAATATATTAGAACCTATAGGTAATCTCTAAAACAAACCAAAACAATTATTCAAGAGATGTTTATGAGACAGTACAGGTCATGCAAAAATAAGGCATGTTATAAAGTGCTTTAATTGCTTAGGTTATTATCTGAAGTCCACATATTCCTGTCCATTTGTGCCCTATAAATATGTCAGATAACTGTAGGAATAACTTTTTCATAGTAGTTATTTGCTGTAATCATTTACTCCCTGGTTTAACTAAATTAATTTAACTGTATTAAAGAAATGTAGGAGCCAGCCTGTAAAAGAAACCACAACCAGCATTTAAAAAGGTTATCTTTGTTACAGATTTACAGTTATTTAAGCAGCCATTTCATTATTGCACTTCAGCAGTAACAGTTACTTATAGTTAATACTCTAGCAGGGCAACTGAATATACACTGCAGTGTATAATAGCTTATACAGACTACTATAGTTTTGTTTTTTTATTTAATGGAAGCTATCTAGGTTTATAATATTTCTTTTAAATGGAAAAGGAAGGTTCCTACACTATAAATTTGGCAAGATAGAAATAATTATAGGTTATCTACTTTAAAAGAGGATTGTAAGTTTGCCAATTAACCTTCACCAGCTTGTGCTTAGAGTATCCATACACCTGCAGTGTATGATTTCATTACAAACGCATGTGACAGCACAACACGTTAGAGAAGCCCCATCTTCCCAGCACACATTAGATAAGAGCAAAGTCACAAGTACAGCTTTCACACATGAGGTGCTACGTCTTTCACTGCAAAGGGTCAGGATGTAGGTGCAATGAAGAGGTCAGAGAGAGACAAGTGCAGCATGTCAGAACGTACTTGGAGGGGTAGCTGTTAAAGCTAACTTGGCTCTGAGACTGTCCAGGTTTAGAAGGTTCAGGGAGGATGTTTGTAGGGACAGCAGTAGTGGGCTTTTCAAAGTTTCTACGATCAAAGTAAGACAGCTGCTTCCGATAATATTCCTCGTCTTCTTCAGGATCATAATTGTTAGCACGAACTATATCTTCTGGTGGCTTCACTTGAGGTTTCTGTGGTTCAGGTACACTGAAACAAAACAAATAATGAAATACAATAACTCTTGTGAAATGCACATACGTAATGCTAGCCCTCTTTGAATGTTCACCACATTCATTTACAAAGCAGTCTTTTTGTTATGTGATCAATGGCTAAATCTGAATGGACAACTGAGGTGATCGGGGCTTGTAAAGTTGGACAAGTCTTACATGCATGATTGCTTTCAGATTCCTCCATCCACGGTACACAAAGCGGATGGACGAACCTCTCCTGGCAGTTACTGCATTCTGACAGCTGGCACCCACAATACTCAAACAGTGGCTGCATCTGTTTTGACACAGTCCCTGTTTACCTGACAATTTTCCATCCAGTTCCTACAACAAAAGTTGATTGAACAAATCAACTTTTGTTGAGATAGGAGGTGCCGACAGGAACAACCACAGCTCAAATGTTGGCCATTTCAGGAGGAATCGGCCAAACCTTGAGCTGTGCATGGAGATCCCCAAGGAAGATCCAGCCCCATGAAAGCACAATCTACATGTAACCATGCTGCAGATCTTGCAAACCAGCACTCCTCAAAAGGGCCAGTTATTGCATAGGTCAAGACTGTATTTACAGCTGAACTCTCCATAAAAGTTAAAGGAGGTCTCCATATTACGGAAGCAAGGTAAACACTAGCCCCTCCCAAAGACTTCTTTATATTTAGGAAAATAACATCATTATAGCACTCCATGACAAAGGAAGTATGCATCAGAACTCTCAAGAAAACGTCTCTCAAATAGCAGACATGTCCATGTGATGAGCCACTGAAATAGCATAGGTTTATAAAGCAACCATATAAAATAGAAAAGAGATACTTATCCAGCAAGCATGAACTTCCTTTAGCGGATCGCACATTCACTTAGCTGGTGACTGATCTCTCCACAGTTCTCATAAGTCACAGAAGTAAAAAATATCATTAACAGCAAAAATAAAAGCAGTTAAAGAATATGCACATGTGCTTCTTTAGCTAGTTTCAGTTAAATAACAGAAGAAACTTTGAAGACCTAAAGACCTGTTTATCTCCTCCTTACCGATAAGTTGACTTTTCTTGATCATAATGAGGCAGTGGAGCAGCTTTAGATGCAGTTACTGGAACAGTTATTGGTTTGGGTGCAACTTCTGGAGCCTAGAATACAAAAATAAAAAAAAATGAAAATATGTTATGTTAGTTACAATATACTTACAAAGTTAAAAATTAAAACAGATGATCCTACTGAAAAAGGTATGACCAAAGAGTTACACTAAAATAGCATTTAAATGCACATTTTGAGTCTCTAAACTTTGTTTCCCCTTTAAAAGGTTCCCCTAAGAAATCTGCCAAAGTTAATAAAGCTGTTAATGCAAGTGAAAGCAAAATTGTATGAAATGTGTGAAAAAGGCAGCTAAACTGTCTTCTCTACAAACAGCAGCGCTGACAAGCAGTGCCTTGGTATTTACATTTTTTTTATACTGTCAAAGGCAACTAATACACATGTCAAATGTCCTATTTGCCTTGTTTACAGGTATTAAACGAGACTAAGGCCCCTTTCAGATGGGCAAACCGATCAGTTTTTCAGGCGGACCTGATCGGATGGTCCATATATCCCTATGGATAGACAAGTGTAAATGGACTTGTTTTCATTTACACCCACCTACCACGAATCCAATCTGATTAAAAAAAAAAAAAAAAAAACAGAAGGGGATCAGTTTCCCTCCGTCTAGGCAGATTGGATCGAAGGGCAATCGGGTGCAAACAACCACCTATAGAGCAGGGAAGGCTGTGTTCGAGTTCACTCTGCATAAACAGAGCAGACACGGTCGTAAAATACCTTCCTGAAACGCAAAGTGGATTCAGTCCTGTGTGAAAGGGGCCTAAAGCCAGCCATAGACAGCGATTTTCTGTGGTTGCAGAAAAGAAAACTGCTTGAATTCCCTATAAACACAGATAGTGTTGATGGGGGAATCCCTCCCGCAGAACCATTGTGTTCTCCGGCGGGGTGGAGGGGTTTAGGGGCAAGGGGTGGAGCCATCCCCACCTGGAGAACAGGAAAAAAAAAAAAAAAAAAAAAAGAAGCATTCTGAGTAGTCTGAGACAGTGAGTGTCTGTTATGAATGTATAACTGTAAACCTATTGGGTACCTTTAAAACAGATACATCATTAACGTCCTTGTTCTTTTCTCCTTGAAGCGTTCTCTTGTTCTCAAACATTTTGACTCTGGTAAGAACAGACTGTGGTTTCATGGCTGGGTCATCCTCATCTTCACTCACAGAGGCTGGTGCAGGAACAGGTTTACTGTTGGTTGGCAGAAGGTCAGATTTAATCTGAGTTGATGGAGGCGGCATGGTTTCCCCTCTAGGAGAAAGATCATATTGCCCTTGTTTTGAATTAAATCCCTGGGAAGCACTATGGTCGTAGCCTCTTGGATGTTGATCAAAGTATGGTTTAGTTTCAGCAGCCCTAGAGGTGGGTACAGAAGGGAAGCTTTGAGGCTCTGGTTTATAACGCATATGCATATCATATTCTGCAGGAGCGGGCTCCTCATAATGTAACTGGGGTGCTTTGTAGTTTTTAGCTTGTCGAGGTCGATTGTCATAGGCAACAGGAGGAGGCTCTTCAAAACGAGGCTGTTGTGGAAAATAGCTGCGTTCAAGGCTTTCTTCTGAGTGCTGCCTCACACTGAAGTCCCTATGCTTACTATCAAACTGCGACCTGGATGAATATGGCTGCTTATCATCATAATAACCCCACTGTTCATCGTAAGTAGGCACATGATCATCACTATGTATTCGAGGATCATAACCATGAGGGTATGGATCCACATATTCTGAAGCAGATTCGTATCTGTAAGACGCATCATACTCTCTTGTCATTGGTTTTTCTGCATAGGATGGAAGGGCATCAAAGTTCAGGTTGCTTTCTTTTTCTGGTCTCTGATGGCTAAGCACTTGTTGTTTCATCAAGTAGTTGTGCCTGGGATTATCTTCCATAGAATATGGCTCTTTTCTGAAAACCTGCAAGATAAAAGAAAGCCTTGGGTTACCAACCAGGAGAAGGCACAGGATAACAGAAAACCAAGTCATATCAAAGCACTAGCCACAGGATGGCAGCAAACATGCAATATTTCCATTCTTTAAGAAGAGTGAAGCAGTGCTGGAAACATGTTCAATGGAAAAAGCATTTCTGAGTCATGTTAGGTTTTCAGCAACGTGAATTTTGAAACATAAAAGACAACATTTAGTGAGTAGGTTGGTATATGAAGCTGGTAAGGAAGGCATGCAGTACTGGAAAGCCATGCAAGAAAAAAGCAAAGTAAACCCCAGTTGATTTAGATGCAGCATAGTGAACTGCTCCAAATTTCCAATATCAATTTATTGACTACCTTTGTTACTGCAGGCACCTGACCAATACAATGTCATATTTCAGGTACCTTCAGTAAGGCAAGGTTAAAGAAGAAGGTGTTAAAGAAAGAAGAATCTCAGATGCAAGTATGACTGGAAGTAGAACAGACTGGTGCAACAATGTAGCACAGGTACCTTTGCTGGATCTATGTGCACAGGTAAAGATGAAGGCTCTTGGTCTCTTAGCATTATGTGAGCTGCCTCAGTGTTTGGTGATCGCATTGGGCCAGCTTGTGCTTGGTAAGAGCTGTATGGGGCAGGGTTTGGATCCTCCAATCTGACATTACTTAGATTTACATTAGGATTTACAGCAGCAGTTGAACTTGCAGTGTTTGTTTCAGACGGCAGAGAAAGGTAAGGGGCAGCAGGTAAGGCATCTGCTTTCTGTGGAGTGTGTAAAATAATGTGTTCACTTAATACAGCACAAAAAAACAATCCAAACATCATAGCAGTCTTGTAGGAACTGCTTCACAACTATTGATCTATACAACTACTAGCTATTCCTAAAAGCACATACACAAAGAGCAAAGAAAAACATCTATTTACTTTATATAATTCTACACATCTGACTAAGCTAGTCAATCATAGCACTGAATTTAAGTTCACTATAAAAATGGTTTACAACTGTAATATCAAAATATATACAAATACAGTATTTTACATCATTCCAGTCCCATAGAATCAGTAGCTATTTGACTAAAAATAAAATCACTTTAAAAGCAAAGCATACAAGATTTAATGATTTTTCTTTTTACAATAAGGCCCCTTTCACACGGGACGGACTCAGTTTTGATCAGCAGGGGATATGTCCACTTATCCCCTGCTAAATAAAGAAGAACAAACGGATGACAGGTCCGTTTATGCAGAGTGGGCACAGACCAAGTCTGCTCTAGTCTATGGGCAGCCAAGAGTCAATGGACTTTGCTATCTTTACTCCTGACTGCCCTCCAATCTGGTCTGCCTAGATGGAGTGGGATGGATCCCCTTCTGTGTTTTTTCAGTGGTCCGGATTGGTTTGGAAGTAGGCATAGAAGGTGAAAAGACCGCCTGATCAGGTCAGGCAGACCTGATCGGATATGCGTGTGAATGGGGCCTAGAAGTTACAATTTCCAATAGTAAATACACCCACACACACGTATGCAAAATGTCCAAAAGCAAAATGTTGCTCATAGCAACCAACTCAATATTCGCACTTTCACTAGAAAAATGAGAGCTGTCGTCTGACTTGCTGCCTTGAGCAACAAACATCTCTCTGCCAATTTCATACATGCTAAACTCCACCATTCTGTCTTGGTTGCAGTTACTTTTTGTGTACAATTCAAACACTAGCTGAATTAACAACCAAGATCAAACATTTTTGGATTCAATGAGTTTGAAGATGTTTTCTTGCTCAATATTTGAATTCATTTTGAAAGAGAGGTTTCTTAAGAATGTCAATAGACAAGAAACCAAAAGGAAAAACAGACTTGTGACTACACAAACACATTAGGATTGATTTACTAAAACCGGAGAGTGCAAAATCTGTTGCAGCTGTGCATAGTAGCCAATCAGTTTCTGACTTCACCTTGTTCAATTAAGCTTTGACAAGCCTGGAAGCTGATTTTCTATGCAGATTTTGCACTCTCCAGTTTTAGTAATTGAATACCATTCAGGCCTGAGAGTGATTTAGCAAAGTATCTGAATGGAAAGTTCTGTGTTTCCTCCAACAACCTATTTGCAGTTTCAAACCTTCATTAGAAAAATGGAAGCAGAACATTATGGAAACCTGTACTGAAAAGTATGTAGGCTCCTGTACGAAATTCTCCTTTTGAGAATGCTAGTTGCCTGTTATGCTGGTCTTAGCATCACTGACCTGCAACAAGTAGATAACATATAAGGGGATCTGCAATTCCTCTGCCTTCACTAGCTGCATGCTTGTAACAGGTCAGTGACTCAAAGTACTGAGGTCAGAGAAAGCCAAGCAACACAAGAGAACCTTCAAAGTTATACAGCTTTCTATTAATGGGATGCAGTGAAATAGGATTACTACAAAAATAATACATAAAATCTATAACAATTTTAAAATGTAGTGCTAAGCACAACTCCATTACTTAAAGCACAACTGTGCAATGCTTTTGCAAAGTGTTTAGCCTGGTAACTGGCCTATGAAATAGCAGACCACATAAGACAACTGGAATGCCATGCCAAGCCATACCACTTAAAAAAAAAAAAAAAAGGCAGAAAAAAGATAGCTTTACCCTATACATTTAGGGAAGATCCAATAAATAGAAATAAACACTATAATATTTTGATTTTAATTAGGTCTGCATGCCATAATTCTTCAATTAATGCACTGCAAAGTTCCTAATGTTGTGAATAGCCCACACACGCGCGCACACACACACACACTTTTTTGACCTGTCATTTGTATAGGCCGAATTACCATTTTTTTTTTATAACTACCCTAGTGATAATCTATTTGAATGAGGAAATAATAAAAGATGTGACAAAACCTACTGGACATCTACTTGTGCTTTAAATAACTGCTAGTTCTGTGTGTAAATATACTTTTGCATGAATGATGGCCTATACGTGATCAAATGCAGCTGTGAACCTTGTGAAAGGGCTCATAAAATGTTTAAACCACCTATATAACAATAACTTGGTAAGAAGGTCTCATGTTAAAAAAAACTAATCTTTTTCAAATGCTTTAAATAAAAACGATGCAAGATGTGACATACGTTCTAATTAAAATGCTAACTTGTTCATTAACAATGTCAGAATATTAAAATGTATCAAATTTACTTCATACACATAGTTTACTACACTAAAAAGAAGCATGCACAAAAGCTGAACTGGACCTACCTGTTGTGATGGAACATTTTTATATCCCGGAGAATCAGTTCTGATGATTGGCTGTGGCTGCTGTGGGTAAGATGGGTAGGCTTGGTTTTCCTGATGTATTCCTGAATTGTCATCCCGAACAGGTTCAGAAGAGCGAGTAATGGCAGACTCCGGCGGAGTCCCTGCCTCATCATTGAGCGTCTCATCCAGGTCTTGGTCAGTATAAGCCCCTCCTTCTGTGTCTGTATCTTCATAGTCTGAAGTGTGCCTGCTATCAGTACTATACATTGAGTACTCACTACCTGGAGCTGATAAGTAGGATAGACGGTCGTCATGCAAATCAAGATCATCATCTGTGCCACCTTCTGCCTGCACCGAATGAAGTCAAGTTAGACCAGGTTAGTAATTCTACATCTGGAATCTTTGCTGGAGAAGTCCAGGATTTTATTTACTTTAAAGATAACTTTCTAAAATCCACACGATTGTCTGGACATCCTTTCCTCTAATGCACATACTGAAAACTACTGTATACACTGTTCTCATTATTATTTCAACAAACCATGGCAAGTGTCTCATTGTATGTATGGCTTTTGGAAGATATGATGGCCCTAAAAAATTTATACAGTTGCTAACACAAAAAATATGTCCTTTCAAACATTTAAACACCTTCAGCAAGAGAGTGTTAAAAATAATAATTAAAAAAAAAAAAAAACTTAAGTGTCAGTTGTACTGTGCATCACATCTAAATCAAAGGCCAAATGAGCGGTTTCATACATTTGCAGCTTCTGTAAAGTGAATTCCAGGCACTGCATTCTAGTGAGTATGCTGAAAACACTGCCACAAACTCATGCACAGAGATACTTAAATTGAGAGAAAATCTTACTTTGCCTTCCGAGACCCAAACCAGCTGGTTCTGTTGCTGCTGTACAGCTTCCTTCAGTCCTCCATACCAGCCATCATTCATAGAATTAAGATTAATGGTTGCTGTCAAACAAGAAAAGTAACAAGTTTAAAGCAATGATATATTTTTTATTTTTTTTCATCTTGGCATAGAAATCTTTAAAAAGCACAAAAAATATAAATGCATATACAGAAAAAAGTAGAACATGTCGAAAATAACTGCAACACTGATTTATCAGTGAATTAAAGAATAGATATTTTTATAAATTACAACATTTTTATATTTCAGTAAGAATAAGATTAGTAAATATTTTCATGCCGCTGACAATTGTATGTATGGCTCAGCAGCATCATGTGGTCAGAACACAAAACACACTGGAAAATACTCTAGCAAACACTAAGTTATTCCAGACTGTCTGTTTAAAGGAAGCCTGTCCACTTAGCAATATAAATACTGCCTTGTTGTGGGCAAAGGAGGATCCAGGGCAGTCATCCTTATTATTCTTGCTTTACACTTACTGAGTTGGGACAAAGATGTGAAGTATCTGACACTTTGCTGGCTGCGTACTGGTCTGTAACTCACCATGCAGTAGGTGGGGCTTGACAGTCCTAAAGCTTAACCTTTAGAAATAAATATGCCACAAAACCATATTTGTATTCTGACAGCTTTCCTTTTAAAGGAACCACACTATAACGTGGCCAAAGTGTTTTTAAAGGTTGCCATCAAAAAAAAAAAAAAAAAAAATGTTCTATTGACCTGCTCTGTGCAATGGTTTTGCACAGAGCAGCCCCGGTCCTTTTCTTTTTGGGTCCCCTGCAAGCAGTCCCGGCTCCTCCTCCCTGCCAAGTACCCCCAATAGCAAGCTTCTTGCTATGGGGGCACTTGAACAGTATGTTTTGGTACCCAAGCCACATTTATGTAAATCTACATTGTCCATTCACACACAGTGCTGCTTGGCCCCGCCTCCCACTCTCTCCCACTGGTTCACTGGCTGTGATTGATAGCAGAGAAGAAGCCAATGAACAGAGAGAGACCCAGGAGAGCCACGGCTCTCATGCACATTGCTGGATGGAGATGGGGCTCAGGTAAATATAAGGGGGGGGGCTGGGGAGCAGCTGCAATCAGAAGGGTTTTTTACCTTAATGCATAGAATGCATTAGCGTAAAAAAAACCTTCTGCCTTTAGAACCACTTAAATGATTTTTCTTTCTTAATGTGAAAGCTTTTCTGTCCCTATACTGTAAAAATCAGGTTTGGGTCACGCCTGGCTGAGGTATAAGATACCACTTGATTAAGCAGAAATGTGCAGTCCGGTTGTAATGCATCTTGCTGGCATTACTCAGGGCGCATTCACATTTCTCTGAACTGCAGTAGCGCATTAATGTGCAATATGTCATGCATCAACAAGTGGTGCATTAAGGCAGCCCATTCATTATTAGCTGGATGCAAACGCATGGCAATGGCCCAAAAATCTACAAGAACTTTATTTTTTTTTGGGGGTGCCATTTAAAATGATTGGTACCAAAGCACACTGTAGTGCGCATGTTACTATGTGCAATGTACAGCCCCTTAAAAAAAAGCTGCTCAGAGAACGTTAAAAAGAAAAAAAAAAAAAAAAACATGTCTCACTTTATTACGGCAAACATTCTAAATAATTCCAGCAGCTGCAAAGCTTTCACATGACACAATTTATCTTGTACCTACTTGTAAAAAGGTGATGATTATTTTTGCGTAGTTTATGTGAACGTTCATAAAGTTTTCGGGCACTTTTTCGAGATTCCGGGCACAACCTCGTTCGCATAGTTTTCACACCCTGCTTGGAGTCGGGGTTAAGGAACACTACAATTGGATACCACTGTGCATAGTTCAGGCGATCTACAGCATTTGGGGTCACATCTAGAAGTGCATGTTTATCCTGTAGAAACAATAGCACTGCATGAATTCACTAATCCAAGCACAGAATACTACAACTTTATAAACAGGTTCAGTAATGGTCCAGTTTGCTCCCAAACATCTATCTACAATGCCTGTATCTCTGAGCAAGCATTTGGAAAGCACAGGGAAATTAATATAAGGCACTAGGATAGCAAGAGAATCTCAATACAATCCAATTTACGGCATCTGATAAAATGTTAAAATCAATTCGCTGTTAGATTTAAATGCCTAATCAGCTAGCATCAATCTTACAAAGGCACTAGTCAAACTGTCAGATTCATCTGAAAGATGGCCAACTCGGGCTGTTTTTCAAAACATCCTATTGTATTAATCACTCACCCTGTCAATAATCTGTTTGATTGTGTGGAGACGAATGATCCCAGAGCTGCGTTGGTCAGTACCTGCATCTCTTGGTTCACTTCCTACAGAAAAATACACAAATACATTGAATATGCAGGTAAAAAGATATAGTACCAATTTCTGTATGGTAAAGATGTGGATTAACTACTTGCCAACTGCAGATAGCCGAATGACGGCTACACTGCGGCCGGCCAGTTCTGGGAGGGTGTCATATGACGTCCTCCCAGAACGCACTCTCCTGCGCTCCCCCGGGGGCGTGCACCAAGCGATCTCCGTGATCGCTGTGTCCTACGGACACAGCTGATCACATGATGTCGTAAAAGGCCAATCACAGCGGCCTTCTACTACGTGATCAGCCGTGTCCAATGACACGCTGATCACAGGGAAACACAATTGCCGGTTCTCGACTGCACTTTCCTCACGCTGTCAGAGCGTGAGGGCAGTTGTCAGAGCAGGGATCGGCACTGATGATCAGTGCCCTGATGATCGGTGCCCAGCAGTGCACCCACCTGTGCCACCCAGCAGCAGTGCCACCCAGCAGTGCACACACCTGTGCCACCCAGCAGTGCCACACACCTGTGCCACCCAGCAGTGTGTCCACACACACCTGTGCCCAGAAGTGCCACCTACCTGTGCCCAGAAGTGCCACCTACCTGTGCCCAGAAGTGCCACCCACCAGTGCCCAGCAGTGCTGCCAGCAGTGCACCAGCAGTCAGTGTCGCCAGTCAGTGCCCAGCAGTTGCGCCAGTGCCGTCCCGCCTATCAGTGCTGTCTATCAGTGCCGCCTATCAGTGCCGCCTATCCGTGCCACCTCATTAGTGCTTCCTATCAGTGCCGCCTATCAGTGCCCATCAGTGCTGCCTCATCAACGCACATCAGTTAAGGAGAAAAATGACCGGTTTGAAAAATTTTAAAATAGAAACAAAGAAACTTTTTCGTTTTTTTCAAATGTTTTGCACTTTTTTTGTTTATAGCGCAAAAAGTAAAGTGCCCAGCGGAGATTAAATACCACCAAAAGAAAGCTCTATTTGTGAGAAAAAAATGATAAAAATTTCATATGGGTACAATCTTGCATGACCGCGCAATTGTCAAAGTGCGACAGCGCAAAAGCTGAAAATTGGCCTGGTAAAGAAGGGGGGATAAGTGCCTGGTAGGCAAGTGGTTAATATAGTTTACATTTTTTTCCCATAAAACAGGACAGCATATCCTTGATATATGAATTTCCCCTCTACTCTTCAACAAGAGACATACAAGGGGTAGCATACTATAAAAGATAAGGGTACTTTTAGAAATGTTGAGAGCACCTGAACTGGTAAATGTAGCATGGATAAAAAGTTAATAGGGTTAGCACACTTTAAAGTAAAACGAAGCCCTTAACATAAAGGGTGAATCTCCATAATGGGGACACAGACAGTGATACAAACCTGACAGGTGTAGAAATCACTTTCCATTCTATCAAAAACTAGAAAAAAATGCCTATACTTTAAAAGAGGCAATATCATCTTACCTATTCAGGCCAAAGTGACATTGGTTTTCCAACACTCAGAGCACACTTGATTTCAGGCAGATCAACAGGTGTTTTTCTATTCTAATAAGATTTTTAGGTTTTTAAAAGGGACAAAACACAAACTATTTTTTAACCAGGATTGTGTGGACAGCCTTCTCTATCGATATATACCAAGTCTGGCAGCCTACCTAACAGCAGATTTATATGTTGTTATGGCTTTGATGCATGAAATCTGTACTAAAGGCAGAATGTCATAATTCACCTATAGCTTTTAAAGTTTTTGTAAACCTTAATAATGATGTTCTATAATTGTATTTCTTTGCTCATAATAACCTGTAAATATTCTTTTTCTATATGTTTTCCAATTATCATCAAATACCTGGTGATCTCCCTAGTCACCTTGCCTTTTTTTAGCACTCTGACTATGCCATACAAACTTTCACAGAAGTAGGTCTAATGATTGACTTCTATCGAATGGGCTTTTTGGAAAAGTTTTCTTGCTCAGCAGCTGCAGGGAGTCCCCGCTGTCAGGATACAATGTTTCAATAGAGAAAAATAAATGCACAATGCAGGCAAAAAAATTTGCATTTACTACAAATAATTGTTTAGGAGCCTGCAAAAATTTTCACCAGCAAACAGCAGCTGACGTCTCCACACACTGGTGTTGACGAGACCTTAATGTTATGTATTTTTTTGTATTCTAGTGATCTGATCTTTATTTAACAACATTTACAAGCATGGCTGGCAGGTTTATAAAGAAAAGACAACTAGATGAGGACTGAGTGTAACATTCATTGTGCAACTTCTTAAGAATTATACCAACTAGAGAGAGTTTAACAGGAAATCATTGCAAACTTACTTGCCACCTCATAAATATCAGGCTCTTCTCTTGCCAGCTTCTCTCGTGCAACATCAGCAATGGGACCAAAGATAACAACAGGCCTGAGAAATCCAGCTGGAAGAGACAAAATGCCTATCATCTGGTACACAAAGTTTGACCACTAATATGCAGTGTTAAAGGGGAACTCTCAGACATTTAAAAATACATTTTTAAAAAAGATACCACCCTGTACCTTTAAATTTAAACAAGCAATTACCTGGGAAGTACATCATTGAACAAATAAACAGAAAGTGAGGTAAGTGACCCCTTAGATCAGTTAGCAGCTTGTCAGCTTAGTGCTACTCACTATTCAAGAGCAATGAAAGTGCTGAAACAGTATAAAACAAATTCTGCTACAACGGTATTTTATTACAAATTCTCATACATCAAAAACGGAATACATTAACACAACATTGACATAATTCAACCACACCTTATACAATCTTCTGCACACATCCCCAAGACTGGGGTTAAATATACAATAGTAACAGAATACAATAAGCAGTCCAAAAAATGGATTATGTGCCTATACCTTGCATGATTATACACTTACGCATGCTAACATACTGCCTCATATCCGCCATGAGTATACAGAGTTAATATGAAGATTATAGCATACAGAGTACAGCTCTTGGTGTAGTGCCGCCACAAGTGAGCCTGTACAGTGTGAAGCAGTGGGTCTTACAACTTCCAGTTATAGGCCCAAATCATGATGTGCTGGTAACTTACCAGGAAGGCAAAGGGGAATGGTTGTTTCTCTACTGTATTGCCAGTGTAGTGTGTGACTGAGCTAAATTCAGCCCAGTCGTCATTCCCAGTCGTCATTCCCAGTCTCTGTTGCCAAGACGACTGGGAATTGTCCATCCCTACTTAGTCACATGTATTTCGGCACTAACATTGCCACTTTTGAGCAAAAGGGGTGGGCATGATTATTACACTGATTTTTTTAGCTATGTTCTAGGTAATGTTATATCACTATAATATCTTCTGAATAAAAGTTTTAACACGGATCTGCATTCTCGCTGAAAGAAAATATATATATATACACACACACATATATACACACACACATATATACACGCACACATATATATACGCACACACATATATACGCACGCACACACACACACATTTCAAATACAGGATAAGCTTTGAAAACAGAATCTGTCAGCCACCCTTTGTGGGAAAGGTGGGGCAGAGAAATGGGGGGAAAGAGCCACAAAATGACCAAGTGAAGAGCGTCATACCTTCTCGCAACACGACTCTTTCGTATGCAGGAAACTTTGTTTGAACAGGTTGGGCAGAGAGATCTTCTCTGCTTTTCCTGAGATTTCGCTTAGAACTTCGGAGGCCTCGAAAACGCCAAAAATCTGCACGATCGCCACCAGCTGTTTTGGGAAGAGTGTACTGCACACTTGCAAGCTGCTCAGCTCTGAGAAAAGAATAGAAAAAAAAAATGGAAACCAATTAGAAAACTACTGTAAATATGATACAGCAATACATTTTAGGACATCATTATGCCCCCCATCTCCTCCACCAGTAGTCTTTCCCTGATGACTTCTAGGGGATCAGACTGGACTGGAGTTTGCATGTTCTCCCTGCATGGGTTTCCTCCGGGTTCTCCGATTTCCTCCTACACTCCAAAGACATGCTCATAGCTTAATTGGCTCTAGTATATGTATGTATGAAAGTGAGTTAGGGACCTTAGACTGTAAGCTCCTTGAAGGCAGGGATTGATGTGAATGTACAATATATGTATGTAAAGTAAATATAAATAAAATAAATTAATTTGGCAGCATAGAAAGTTTTATACCTTATAAGCTTGCTAAGCATTGGACTAACAGGTTGCATATTCCAGAATGAACGGTGATCCAATACTGGAATAAACAATAATACAGTTCCACAAGGACAGGAGTCTAGATTTTTGGTTTGAACACTTTTCGAACCAAAAATAATCTGTTATTGTCTGAAATGTAAACCAGGGGTTCCTTCACAGACTTATCAGACGGGATGCATTCTTTGATTTTCTACACTGGTATCACCATGTGCCCTGTACTAGTCCTCAAAAAAGACATTTCTCCTGCCTTCTCCTCCTGCTGCACACTCATGCCCTGCACTTATAACTAAAATTTCTATGAATGGGGCAAGTCACTTTTTTAGTAAATTTACAGCCATGAGTTTGGGGTCTTCACTCACTGGTCCAGTAGCAGCAGGGGGACCAGTTTGTGAAATGCATGTTGATAGCAGTAAATGCCCCTATGTGCCACTATATTGTTCCCTACTGGAGCAATCCCTGCCACTAGGCCCCTGTCCTCCCCTTTGTATGAAGGACAGTGGAAGTGCATCCAAGAGTCCAAGATTTCATCCAAGAGTCATGAAATGTCTTTCAAGACCACATATTATGTTAATGGTAATATTCTTTTTTTCAGTTTTTCTATTGCAAGTTTATAAATTACATCCTAGTTTCTCATCTAAGAGCCCACTCTGTTTCCCTTGCACTTATTTTAATGCTCCCCCTACATGTTCCTATCGGAGGTTCACTCATACATCTCTAAAACACCTAGATAAATTTCACCATCCTTATGTCTATACCTTTACAAACACATTTTTGTATTTCTCGAGCCACAATTAAGTGATGTCACCGAACACCATAGTAATCCCAAGTTTCACATTAAAAAGGTATGTTTTATTATTTATTCTTTTATTTATATATCTACAGCTTGCTGATTACACAAACACTCTATGAATTGTAGATTAGATCATTTTCAGGATTTCCTGAGACCTACACTACTCCTTTAACATATTGCTGCTGTATTTGTTTATTTTGCGTCTGTATAGATTACTAGCAACATTAAATATCTTATGTTTAAATATCTAATATTTAATGTTTATAACAGCTGCTTTGTTCAACCGATCAATTATAAGTTGATAGGAAAATGCAACAATAAAGAATTTCTCTTTTCCTGTTCTTATTTGGAATAATCCCTCTTTCCACTTCCTTATGATTCCTCCCAATTCTTATAGCCAACCATGATCCAAGTTTCCCATTGTACAGTGTATCCACCACTCTGAATACCTCTCCTTTGTTAAAACTGAGTCCATAAGGAGATTCTTTTTCATACTCAAAATGCGTACGGATATAGAAGGAATCCCCAACATCTGACTCGACAATGCGACGATAAACTGGAAGAACCAAAATGAAAATTAATATCAGAATAAGAAATCACAATTGACAACTGTTAATTCCAGGTTTGTAATTAAATTACAACAGAGTTGAGTACTGTCCGAGATCACTTTTATGAAACAGTTAATTTTACAGGATGAGCGTTCGGGGGTCTACTCCCATCTTCTAGGTCCAAGAAGTACTGATACACAGAGGTCTTACCTTTAGCACAATTAAATTAGGAAACAAGTTGACCACCAGAATTCACAAGAGTTACATTTCCTTGCACTTAACAAAGACTAGTCAAGTGTCAAAGATGATGCACAATGGGCATTCCAAAGATTCAGGCTTTGACCCACCTGCAGTGCAGCACCATTAGAGCCTGAGCATATTGCAATATTTCCAGGAATGGGCAGAAAGACATACTAACCCTAACTTACACAATTCACTGCCGACTGTCTGATCAGCAGAGCTCAGCATGGTTGTATAAGGGCAGGAGAATCACACACAGCTCACAAAGTCGATAGTAGAATTACATTTTCAAGAGGTTCCAACATTTAACTGGGGTGGCGGGTTTGCACAATGATGGTACTTATGGCGCAGTGTGCCAGTCCAAGTGTGAACTCACACTAGGGAGTTCCACTCCCTTCAGTGTAGGAACATTCTATAGCTATGTTACCTATTCATTATAAGGAGAATATTTTAAACGCCTTCTGCTGATTACGGATAGAATGACTGAAATCATCTAACACCTACATTCAATCAGTTAGTAGGCTAACATATAATATGAATATATATGTGACAGATGTCACAAACTGTATAACTTGTATTCATTTGCAGTGTGATAAAAGACTTGTACATTGGAAAACTATCAGCAATGTCTTTTGCTAACCATCTTTTTTCTTCTGCGCCAGAATTGTGACCTCTTCTCCTTTTGGTAGATCAAGCAGGAAAAGGACAGCTTCCTCTCTGATAATGTTTGTGAAGTCCACATTGTTTACCTGTGGAACACAATATGTATTTTAAAATGTTATGCATTTAATAGACCTGGGAAAAAACAATACAACTTTTTACACTTGAAATAATTTTTTACCTAAATTTATTAACTGTCATGAACAGACAATCCTAAAGAGAAATGTGATGCACTCCTTGACATTAATATAGTACTTACTTCTTGAAGGAAAGCATGAACAATCCAATGCAGCAAAAACTAAAGAGTGCTGTAGGTGCTCTATAAATCTCGTATTATAATAATAATAATGCCGATGATGATAACGAAGGATTCCAAAACAGAAGTCATCTGCTTTGACGATTAGTACAAGTGCTATAAAAAAATGCTATTGTTTGCCAATATACCATTAGAATTAAGTAAACAGGGAAGTTTATAGGGAGAGATCTCATTATTCATTACTACAGGTACTTGTATAGCGCCGTCAATTTACGCAGCGCTTTAAATATACCGTAGTTTCCGGCGTATAAGACGACTTGTTAACCCTTGAAAATCTTCTCAAAAGTCGGGGGTCGTCTTATACGCCGGTATACGGCATGATGACACTTGGTGCCAGGGCGGCACTTTTTAGGGGGGCGGCGCGGTGCCACCGCCCCCCACCTTCCACCGGAAGGGACACTAAGTAGAGGGGTGGGCAGGGGGCTGCTGTTTCTTACCTGGCTCTGGTCCCAGTCCCACGACGATCCAGTCCAGGAAGCACGGCTGCTCCTTCATTCAGTTTGGTTGGGAGCGATTTGCCAGTAGAAAAAAATGCTGAACACTCCTAAACACTACTAAAATGCTACTAATAGCTTTTTCTCAATCTTTTTTCCCTACATGTACTATAAAAATGCTTATAAAACGCGAACGCTCCTAAAAAACGTTATTACCAGTGTTTTTTATCCAGCATTTGTGAAGATTTAAAAAAAAAAAAAAACATGCTAGTGTGCATGGAGCCTCAAGCTGATTTAGTCCTGATAATTTTGTATCAAACATCTTGCAACAGTGTTTTTCATTTATAAATATTTGTGGGGGCAGCTCAAAGTACTTAGATTTATTAGCAATATGTTCTTCAAAATACCTTACGTAGACATGCATTTCACACGTAAACAAGTTCTAAAGATCTAGGAAAGCAAAGACAACATGTCTTCAGTTCTTGTGCCTTGCATTGGTTTTACCAAAGGGCATTGGAATTCTTGAAAGAGATCGTAACTAACCAAGTCAAATCTAATTATATATCTTCTTTATTAAATTAATCCAGAACTCCTAATTGCAGGGAGCTGCATAATTAACCCTTATTAAACATAAAATTGTGTGTGGGGGGGGGGGGGGGGAGAGTACAAACACAAAGTCTCTTTAACCGCCTCCCGCCCGCCATATATGGAAATGACGGACAGGCGGCGGTTCTCTCGTTCTGGGAGGACGTCTTCCCCCACTCTAACCGCGCATGCGTGGCCGCAAGAGTGCGCCGCACAGCGATCGCTGGTAGTCTGTGTGCCTTGGACACAGGTCATCATCGATTGTGATAGAGAGCCATTGGCTGCCGTTCTTTACCACGTGACAGGCTGTGTGCAATTACAGCCTATCACAAATGTAAACAGTGAGCAGTAACTCACTGTTACCCGCTCTAACAGTGAGTTACCGTTTTTACAGTGCATACACACATTACAGCCCCTGTCACAGTGCCCATCAGTGTACCTGTCGGCCATCAGTGCCGATCAGCAGTGCACCTGCCGCCCATCACTGCCGATCAGTGTACCCGCCGCTTATCAGTGCATCTGTCGCCCATCAGCAGTGTACTGGTCGCCAACCAGTGTACCTGTCGCCTTTCAGTGCCCATCAGTGTACCCGTCGCCCATCAGTGTACCTGTTGCCTGACCAGCGGTGCACCTGTCGCCCATCAGCAGTGCATCTGTCGCCCATCAGTGGCCATCAGCAATGCACCTGTTGCCCATCAGTTACCATCAGCAATGCACCTGTCGCCCATCAGTGCACCTGTCGCCCATCAGTGCACCTGTCGCCCAGCAGTGCACCTGTCGCCCAGCAGTGCACCTGTCGCCCATCAGTGCCCATCAGCAGAGTACCATCACACAGCCACAATCAGCCTAATTTTTTTTTTATTATGAAAGGAAAAATGGCCCAAAATAGTAAAAAAAAAAAAAAATAGTTTTTTTTTTTTTTTAATTTAGCTGTGTGTTTCTTGTTACGACCGTAACCCACCTCCATAAAACAACCCAAAATAAATTCTCCCGATCGCAGCAATACCATATATGTGTATGTTATTTGTTGTTTGTACCCGTAGTAGACCAGTAACAATAGTGCGCATTTTATTTTTGTCTTTTTTTTTTTACCTAAAACACACTGACATTAATGCTGACACCAATTTTTTTTTTTTTTTTTTTTTTTTTTTAATCCTTTGACCCTGACAAACATTAACCCTGGCACTGAACTAGATCAAACCTTGATCTAGGTATTTTTCTTTATTTTTTATTTTATTTTTTAATATTTATTTATTCTTTTTTTTTTTTTTTTACAAACATTTTTTTGATCTCTCTCTATGTCAAGAGTTAGAGAGATACAATGTAACTCTCTTCTCCATTCATAGAGAGAGAAAAAACAAGGGGGCCGGGCTGCACAGTGACTGATCACTGTGATAGCCAATCAGAGGCTATCACAGCGATCACGTCACCCGGAATCGAAAGTCCCAGGTCCCGATCGTTAGACCGGGACCCGGGGCTCTCAGTGACACCGCGGTCTCTGTGCTGGGAGCGCGCCAAGCGGTGCACTCCCAGCACAAAAGACAGGTACGCCCCACGGAAAAAAGCCCAGTTCGGTGAGACTGCATATTTGTGTGCCATCGGCGTCAAGGGGTTAAAGATCCTCATATTTGAGAGGCTTCTAGATGGAACCCCACACTATGCCTACTGGTAAACTGAGGTTTAGAATTGAGAACATCAAAAGCTGCAAAGAAACCAAATAAATCCCACATTACTTACTCTAAGTATCTGATCACCTTCTTCCAGTCCTTCTTTAGCTGCAGGGCTGTCCTCCAATACACCAGCAACAAAAATACCCACATCATTTCCTCCAGCAAGACGTAGTCCCACACTGTCTCCTTTTCTAAACTTCACAAGTTTCATGCTAGGCCTGTGTGATATAAAATAACATTCTTTAGATCTAAAACAAAACGTAAATATTACATTTATGCATCCTAACATAGTACCTTAAGTACCACAGGCACAATACAAATACAGATGCTAGTGATTTCTTCCAGTAGTTTTTGTTATTGCTAAACACACTATGCTTACACTGGAAAGTTAAACCTGTTCATTGATCATCCTACTGACATATTAAAGTAGGTAGACACAATACAAAAAAAGTCTTATAACAAAGTAGAGGCGTTTGCTTGGTATGACTGAAAATTAGGTGCACAGACAAATACAAGGTATTCAGTTTTGAGTTAGGAAATTAGGTAATGTTGATATGCCTGACAAATACGCAGACTATTAACATGCTAATTACACTCAGAAAGAGTAGAACACACACTGGAATCATGACATTTTAACCAAGGGTTAGGAGACTAGCAACCTCATATGTTTTGGGTGAGCCATCATAAGTGCAGGTCAAAATAGATAAATAGTATGAACTGTTCGTGAATTATTGCAATTCAACCTCAATGCACAAAGAACTACTTTCCTGTAGTTTCCTATAGTGAATAACAATCAGCCCGAGAAATATAGCTTCCGTAGAGGTTTTGTCATTTCTTAAAAAAAAAAAAAAGGTCAGCAAAGAGAAGAAAGAAGATGTTATGGGACTTTTCTCCCCCTGCTGAACTGCTCATTCTTTAGGAGGGCAGCATAATGTCCACTGACAATACAAGGAGCTGGGAGAAAATGAGTGCAATGCGTTGGCAGTATCTCAGGCAGGAAATTTTCACTTGTGAAACACCTTTCAAATAAAGCAATCATGCTATTCTTTAATCTCGACAGAGCTATTTATAATATCTCTACATTATAGCAGCATATGAGTATTGACCTGTTTCCTGATGCTAATTTTTTTTCTGTGGGAAAAGAGAATGGGCTACTACTGTGATACAATCAAGTAGAATGTCCCTTACCGTAGCATGCCATCTTCATGTGTGGAGTTGGGAAAAGGTCCATCAGATGGACTGACAGGTAGATCTACATCTGGCTGTCCTGACTGGGCATACACAGGTTTTGGCTCTAAAAGGGGAAAAAGTGTAGAAAAAAACAGTTATCAATTTCTACTAAAATTAATTCAAACTCTATGTTCTCATAGTTCAAGGCTAAATCTGATTTGAAGTTTTGCATTTAACAACAAGATTCTTGTCTTCACAGATATTTACTGCCTCATTGACCTGCGCAGTGTGTGCATCATAGCCTATCTTCTCCATAAAGGCAAGAGGAATATGCTATGTACATGTAATTAACTGTCAGTGCTGTGTAATTGATACAGGGGCCAAAGAAGTTTGCAAAGATGCTGTATTTGTAGAGAATCTAATAATGTAAACCCTTTGCAGCATTAACATGTGATGTAGATGTAAAACCTAGAATTCAGATAAAGATGTAATATTAATGCTAAAGTGTAGCCATTTCCCCATCTCATCCGCAGTTTATTGCTGACCTCGGCAATCTATTGAGAGGTGCTTCACTGCAGTGTGAATAGCCCATTCTGAGGCAGGGAAAGGCCTCAGAATGGGCTATTCAACAACCAAGATACAGTAAGTATTGCCAGGGCACACTACAGAAAAAGATGTTGAAATTACATTATCGTTAAACACATGAAGGAAGGTGGCAAGTCTTGAGTCATGAGATTACTTCATAGTGTTCGAATTTAAATAGCTGTCTTTAAGGTCAGCAAATAATTTTTTACAGAAAGTAAATAGATGTGTACTCTGATCTTAGCGCCAAAAGAAAAAAAACAAAATCTAAGAAAGTAGTAAATGAAGGCAAAACTCAAAGCAAATTTATTTCTTTAAAGCTATGAATTTATTTCACTTTAACTACTCTTAGCCAGGATCCCAAGGCCAAATTGGCACATAAATCATTTAAGATTAACTTCAGAACATTATGACCTGTCCTTGACATGCAGAGTTATTCCAAGTCAATTTAAAGGGAACTACTAATAAAGCATGGCAATATTTTACAGCTTTAACAGCTGGAATATATCTGAAAAAAAATATACTGGCAAGAGATAGTCACTGTTGAGAAATTATTGCACTTAATACATTATTTCAAATCTTTTGATTTACAACAATTAAGGATAAAGTAAAATAATTAAAATTGATTGTAAAGTTAAAAAAAAAAAAAAAAAAAAAAAACACAAAAAAAACAAATGTTATACTTACCTACGATTTTGCAGAAAGCAATCCTGGCTCCTCCCACTGCCGAGTGCACCCATAACAAGCTATAGGGGCACTTGTGCATGCTTGCTCCCGAGCCCCGCTCTGTGTTCATAAGACACACAGAGCATGGCTTAGCACCCTTCCTCAGTGGCTGTGATTGACAACAGCAGGAGCCAACACCTCTTTCTGCTGTGTCTGAGCCAATGAGGAGGGAGAGAGCTGGGAGAGCTGCTGTTCTCATGCACATCGCTGGATCGAGATCGGGCTCAGGTAAGTATTAGTGGGGGCTGAGGGGAACTGCACACTGAAGGTTTATTATTTTCATGTATATAATGTATGAAGGTAAAAAACCTTCAGCCTTTAGAACCACATTAAAAAACACAAATTTTTAAGCACAGTCTTAAGGATAAGAGCCTTAATTTAATATAGGGCCATTAAAAAGGACTTTGAAGATTTTTTCGTTCTCAAGATTTCAGAAGTAGTTCCTGACAAAATCCACGGTAGAGGAAATAATTCCTTATTACAGAACAAAGTTTCAGCACAACGGACACAATTCTGTTTTGTGCACTACTCTTGGTGATATCCTATTTCTAAGAAAAAGTGCCAGTAAGCACTGAAGTGTGACATGCCGTTTCTATGTCATCCACCCTCTAGGGCAGGGGTGGGCAACTGTGGCCCTCCAGCTGTTGTAGAAATACAAGTCCCATGAGGCATTGCAAAACTGACAGTTACAAGCATGACTCCCAAAGGCAGAGGCATGATGGGACTTGTAGTTCACCAACAGCAGGAGGGCCACAGTTGCCCACCCCTGCTCTAGGGTATTCTCCAGGGAAAACGGGAGCCCTTATCATCTGAGCAAAAGCTGGACCAGAGGTGGAGCAGGAGATATCCCATCTGAGGTCACACAGAATAAAGCTGCTCTGGAATATCAAACGCTGTTGTACTTCAAAGAAATAGATTCAGTTTCTGGTGAAGTCATGCTGTGAAAATGAATTGATTTATCACCTGGTAAAGGAGGTGTCTGCTTATCTGCTCTGTCCAGATCATCTGCTGCTCTAGGTAGGGTTGCGCTGTTTGTATTTTTCACAGGTGTAGATACTCCAGGCTTCGATACTCTATCCTCATCTCTACTCCGCGTGCTGCAGAATAAGTATAGGAGTTAGTATTGTAGGGATAATAATGAAGCCTTTACCAAAAAACACACACACACAAAAACACACACACACAAATCAACCCCCAACTTCTAATACCTATTTTGGACCCTTGTTTTTGTCCTCAAGACCACAGCTGCTCCATGATCGCTTACCTATTTTCAGCAGCTCGTTTTACTTTAATGTTTAGGAGCATAGATTGTCATCCACTGGAATAGATTCTTGGAAGAAAGACCATGGAAGCACAAGACTAGGCAAGTTGGGATGTCAGAATACCAGAATATCAGAATACCAGATATATGATCTCTCTGCTGCAACAGGCAGGAAACTAGCAAACTTACAAAGGGACAAATGACTATTCCTTACCGTTACCTGAATACAAATAGCACAGAATACATTTCTAGATTCCAAGCCTTATAAAATAAAAAAATGCTTCACCATTCCACATATGCCTTCAGAATCATGTGCAAGCACATAATGTGAAGGTCAAATTCAAAACAAACCCTAGCTTATCCCATCAGGCTGTCAGGAATAAGATTTGATCACACTATCATAGTTAACAAGCCACAGAGGGGGATGAAACTCAGCAGTTACAGAGTAACAAAGCTGCCAATCATTTCCACAAATTTGCTTTCATTATATCTGTCATTGTTTTGACAGCATTTGAGTGCAATACAAGGCTCACAATGCCATAATTCTGGAAAGACAGCTCGTAACCTTGTTGTCCTTTATTAACTATAATTACAGGAAGCATGTTCCAGAAAAGATAACAACATTTTTCTAGTCAGTCAGAGTCAATAGGGAAAAGGCCTGTTTGGAAAGATAAAGCCAGTGATTTTTTAAACACGGGTGGAATGTTTTGAAGGATACAATAGGCTGGCATATGAATACACTGAAGATTGTAATAAATCCACTTATTACAAATAATAAAAGGCCAAGGAGAAAAAGCAGAAATGAATCTTGTTCAGCAAAGCAATGTTGTCCAAACACTAGGGCTGCTAATAGGCTATTTTTTTTCACAAAATAAAGCAAACAATGGATTTATTAGGGTTTTTTTCTTAATTTCTGAATTTTAAGCCTGATCCATGGGAAAGTATATCCAAATCACTGCATACTGTCATGTTTGGAGCAATGTACACTGCAGAGTGCAGGAGAAAGTTATAGTGAGGACCTTTTTAGGTGCTGTGAAAGGTGTCCTACAAGAACACAGATCTATACAGATGTGAATAGCCCCAAATTTAGGGATAAGCATGTACACGTGTCATGTCAGAATATTAGCAACCTCTCCGATTCTGGCCATAGGTGGTCATCTTCAACCCTTGCATGTCCACTGGTAAACACAGCCTTCAAAACTTTTGAAAAGTTTTGCAAACAAAAAATATTTTGTCAGATTGTTTAAGTGCATTTCTTTTTTAATCTGTTTTTAAAAATACCCTGAACACATTTTTAAAAGAGAAGTATGGTTTTAGATTTAAAAAAAAAAAAAAAACTCATATTCACCTAGATGGTTGCAGCACCGATCCTAGTTGCAGAGGCTGAGCCAACTTCCGATCCAGGCATCTGTGTGGATCCCAACATTAAAGTCGGGATCTTTCTGAGCCTTGACCAGTTCTGTGACGCTTTAGCCTGCTGTTGCCTGAAAAGGGGTCACAGGAGTGCAGAACCAACTTCACTCCTGTGATCTATAGGAAAAAGTTTTCGCTATACTTTATAAATTATACAAGAAAAAAAAAACAAAAATATGCGGGGGGAATGCAATTTTAGTTAATTTAATGCACAACAGATTTTGCCTTCTCTGCCTGCAGCACATGGAAATCGGGAGAGAGAGTCCTGCCGTACCAGGTTTCTAAAAGCTTCAAATTCAGAAGTGATCAGAGCTTAGGGGGAGAGCACACTGTGCCACAAGAATGCAGAAATAATAAGGGGTGGGAGTCACAATTCAAAGAACCATTAGGAGTGGTAAAGAAAAAATAATACATACATAAAACACACATACACCAATGTGCAACCCATCTCCAGTGATCACAGAGATCTCTGCATTGAAAAGCTGCACAGAAGAAACAATGGTAACATCCTCTCAGACACTACTCTATGCCAGAAAGGCATCAATTTATAGCGGTGGGGAAGACAGGGGTTAGGAACAGAAGTAATGAATATTAAAAGACAACAAACCAGAAATATGGAAAAGTGTAGAAATAGTTGCAGAGTGCTAGAAGGCTAACATTTGGAGCCAACTGACTAAATAGCCAAAAAAAGCAGAAAAAGAGAGGCCATATAAATTCCAGAGACAAGGTTTGTTTCTGATAAGTAAATCAAGTTAAGGCTGCAAAATAGACTAGTACAGAATAGGATGCTTTCTTTGAAGTTAAATATTCAGTTGTGAACAGTAGATGGAATATCACCTCCTGAATGTGCAGGAATTATGTGGGGCTAAGCTAGCAATCTGTCTTTGTTTCTAGGTGACAACTTGTACAAAATTATAGCTGCTTTTCCCATGAGTCATGAAAGGTGTTATTGCAGCAAGTGTATGTGTTCTGGCAGTGTGCTTAGATTCCCAACATCTGTGATATGTCAGGATGATGTGCTCAATATGTATAACACCATAGCAGAAATTGTACATTCACCCCATAGTCAGAATAGATTCAGCTCACCTTTACCCTCAAGCATTTGTTTCTCAACTTTAAATATGAATAACCAGAGAAATCTACCCAAAACATTCTATTTTATGCCTAAAAGATGTCAGTAGATTAAAAAGAAAATATGTTCCATACAAATTATACACTATATTGCCAAAAGTATTGGGACACCCCTCCAAATCATTGGATTCAGGTGTTTCAATCACATCCATGGCCACAGGTGTATAAAAATCAAGCACCAAGGCATGCAGACTGCTTCTATAAATATTTGTGAAAGAATGGGTCATTCTCAGGACCTCAGTGGATTCAAGCGCGGTACCGTGATAGGTTGCCACCTGTGCAATAAGTCCATCTGTGAAATTTCCTGGCTACTAAATATTCCATGGTGACCATTAGTGGTATTATCACAAAGTGGAAGCAACTGGGAACAGCAGCAACTCAGCCACGAAGTGGTAGGACACGTAAAATGAAACAGCGGGGTCAATGCATGCTGAAGCGCACAGTGCGCAGAAGTCGCCAACTGTCTGCAGCTCCAAACTTCATGTGGCCTTCAGATTAGCACCACAACAGTGTGTAGAGAGCTTCATGGAATGGGTTTCCATGGCCAGGCATGTGCATCCAAGCCTTACATGACCAAGTGCAATGCAAAGCGTCGGATGCAGTGGTGTACAAGACGCCGCCACTGGACTCGAGCAGTAGAGACGTGTTCTCTGGAGTGACGAATCGCACTTCTCTGTCTGGCAATCTGATGGATGTGTCTGGTTTTGGCGGTTGCCAGGAGAACGATACTTACCTGACTGCATTGTGCCAAGTGTAAAGTTTGGTGGAGGGGGGATTATGGTGTGGGTTGTTTTTCAGGGGTTGGGCTTGGCCTCTTAGTTCCAGTGAAGGGAACTCTTAAGGCGTCAGCATACCAAGACATTTTAGAAAATTTCATGCTCACAACTTTGTGGGAACAGTTTGGGGATGGTCCCTTCCTGTTCCAACATAACTGCGTACCAGTGCACAAAGCAAGGTCCATAAAGACATGGATGAGTGAATTTGGGGTGGCGAAACTTGACTGGCCTGCACTGAGTCCTGACCTCAACCCGATAGAACACCTTTGGGATGAATTAGAGTGGAGACAGAGACAGGCCTTCTCATCCAACATCAGTGGCTGATTTCACAAATGCGCTTCTGGAAGAATGGTCGAACATTCCCATAGACACACTCCTAAACCTTGTGAACAGCCTTCTCAGAAGAGTTGAAGCTGTTAAAGCTGCAAAGGGTGGGCCAACTCAATATTGAACCCTATGGACTAAGACTGGGATGCCATTAAAGTTCATGTGCGTGTAAAGGCAGGCCGCCCAATACTTTTGACAATATAGTGTATAACACGTATGCATTAAAGCTCCAAACACAAAACAAAGACTAATGTTCATTAAATAGTGAAGCCATCACCTGCTGTTACTGTGCTGTTGTGGAGAATGTCTGGAATGGTCTGAAGGCTCCGATCTCTGGTCAGGAGACCGTGAACGGCTGCGGCGGGGCCGGTCATGTGAACGATTGGAATGATCTGATGTCAGCGACTGAATTTCTGAAATGTCTGTGAAAGTAAAATAAGCATTTTTAGGGGAAATATCCAATAAAAAACTGAATATGCAAAATGCTAAACAAAATAAAAGCTTACTCCTAAACTTAATGCAGTTAAAAAGTCCAAGAGTAGGTAACATTTACCATTCTAAGAACGCAATGGTAAAGCACATAACCAAGAATATGTATACCAAAGTTTTGCAACCAAGAGCAAGTATACACCCAGGAGTGCTCAGTAAACTTAAAGCAGCATATGTCACCAGTTCCAGGTCCTGAACAAGATGCTCAGAAACAAATGGGGCAGAATGGTAGTGTACAACTGCTCTATGGTAACACACAAAATGATTGTTTATCCATTTGCGGGACTGCCTGCCCGCAAAGCACTGCAGACAGGAGGCCTGTGCAGGCAAAGCAACATACTGGTATGTCGCTGACTGCCTACGGGTTTAGGGTGAACACCTGCAAAGCAGGGATGAGAAACAAGGAGATCTATTAGCAGCACATAATACACACATTACACATTGTTAGGCACACATTAAACCCCATGATCGCCCTAAATGTTAACCTCTTCCCAGTCAGTATCATTAGTGCAGTGACAGTGTATAGTATTATCACTGTATTAGTGTTACTGGTGATGTCAGTGGCAGTTAGTTAGTCCCCCCCCAAGTGTCAGTTAGTGTCAGGTTACAAGCCACACTATCCCAGTCCTATTATAAGCCGATGATCATGGCCATTAGTAGGATTAGAAAAAAAAATATTCAATATATATATACACCATATTTTGTAGGCGCTACAACTTTAACGCAAACCAATCAATATACACTTACTGGGATTTTTTTTTTTTTTTATCAGACATATAGCAGAATACATTTTAACCCAAATTGTTTTTTTGGATATGTTTTATAGCAGAAAGTATGTTTTGGTTTTTTTTTTTTTTTCAAAATTTTTGGCCTTTTTGGTTTATATCATAAAAAATGAAGAAAAAAAAAACCCCTGTGGTGATCAAAAGCCACCAAAACAAAGCTCTATTTGTGTAAAAAAAAAATGTATATAAATTTTTGTTTGGGTAAAGCACTGCATGACTGTGCAATTGCCGTTAAAGTAGAGCAGTGATAAATAGCAAAACAATGGCCTGGTCATGAAGGGGGTAAAACCTTCCAGAGCTAAAATGGTTATATAAGAGGTAAATAAACAATTTTGAAAGTTTAGGCACTGATGTTATCATTCAGTGTCCAACTCTACCCAAACATTTTCCTCTATTTCTCTATTGAGGGACACAGCTGTTAAACTACTGCCTACAGGAGAAATGGACACTAGGCATGTAGAAAAAAATGTGTCAGGATGGTGAGAGTCTAAGTATCCACAAGCTTACATAAAGATAGTAGTAGATAGGTACCAGAAATAAAGTAGCTCACTGGAATGCGGATACCTGGAAACCAGGATGGAGATGGACAAGAACAGCATTTCAAGGAGAACCTTTTTGTCAAGTCAGATTCACCTCCTAGAGAATCTCACCATCTTGGCGCTGGTTCTTTCATTGCTGTACTATGCATCAGGATTTGCTTATGTCTAGTTTCATGGTCTTGATGGTGAATTCTGACGTGTATATGTTGTTATCTGTATAACTAACACCAGCAATAGTTTAAACAATAAGCTGTTTGGTGTGTTGCCTTTCATTTACACATTAAAGTCTATGACAGGTTTCAATTACTGTTGGTGTCCCTCTTGTGAATATGTCCTCTATCCTCCTGTCAGAGCAATTTCTTTTCAATGGGGCCATAAAGAAAAAAATAAAAACATTTTTTTAGAAGAGTGGGGAAGGGTTAAAATTGTGCATTTTTTTATTGCTGTCTGTGCCTTCTGTCTTTGTAATAATTACTACCCCTGTTACAGATGTCAGAGAAAGTGAGAATAAATCTCACTAATACAGACACAGATAGAAATAAAAACCAAACAGAAAGGTTAACTCTTTCCACTCTATTTCAAAGTTTTTAAAAATGCCTGGACATAGGCATTACTTTATTTAAGTAATTGCCTGATCTCATCATTTATTTCCACAATGTCACCATACCGTCTCTCTCTGAAGCGTTTGCAGAATGAAGGCTGTCATCTAGATCTGGGACATTCAGTAAAGTTGCTCGCTCATCTCTTTGAACTACCATTTTTAATTTACCCTTTGACCTTTCTATCAATGTTTTTGCATCGGACAAAGACATGTTTTCGGTGACTGTGCCATTAATCTGCAAAACAACAATGGAGGGATTACTGGTTATTCATGCTTAGCGTAAATTATTTCTAAATGATTGAGTGACATACACAAAGTTAACAAAGACTAAATGTATTTAGTCTGTATCAAATCCTGCAAGCAAAGCATGATTGGTGTCTGACTTGTTGGCTACTGCTTCACACTGCTATATATAACACTGCAAATAATGTTTTTAGAAGAATGTTCTTTTTACTTAATCAACAGATAAACGCAGGGTGGAAAAGCCTTTTTAAAGCATTAGCATTGCAAAGTAATTCCAGCTGAACATTAACGTGGAATTCTAGCCAATTTATAATGGAAATTACATAGGTTTTAAAACAAGGTAAAGAAAAAAAATTATATTATATGCAAATGTATTAAGAAATCTTTCCAGCAATCAGAATTCATTTATTGTGATTCTAAAGGCAATTTTTGTAAAACAAAACAAACATGTCATACCCGCTCTTTTTCGGGTCTCCTGCTGCCACTCCTGGCCCCTCCCCCGTCGAGTGCCACCATAGCAAGCCACTTGCTATGGGTGCACTCACACATGCTCACTCCCAAGCCAGCTCTGTGCCCCCATTGGCACACAGAGTGCGGCTCGGCCGTGCCCCCTGATCTCTCCTCACTGGCTATGACTGAGAGCAGCACGAGCCAATGCCTATCTGTACCATGAGTAGAGAGACGCCCCTCTCGTGCACAAAGCAGAATCGAGATCGGGCTGGGATAAAATGAATGCAGGTTTTTTACCCCAATTCCCAGACTGTTACTTGAATAATGAGATCCTTCTAAATCAAATCATTTTCAACAACAATCCCAAAAACATCATCAAACTTTATCAAAGCTCTTAATGCACACGCTAAGATAGCCTTGTCGTCCAATGAGATCAAGAGAAATGTATGTTAGATTATAACTTGCGTGGCTGGGCTTATTAAAAAAAAAAAAAAGCTTTTGGCCTGGAAATAACACCTGGGAGATCTCACAAAAGAAAAGCCAATTAAAACTAATGATACACACTAGCATTATTTTCCATTTATACATGGCCTGTGCTACATAGGAACATTTGTACCTGTGTTTCCACATGACTGAGAACAGTCTATAGCATCCTGCAACTGATCACAAAAAAATAGCACAACTGTAATCTGCGATATAAAGCTTACAGTTCCGGAAATATTCAGCAACAGTCCCTGAGTACTATAAATGTCTATAATTATAGCAGGTCCTTTATAGCTATTCAGGTTTGCTGCAATTAGTTGCAAAGCCCAAGATCAGCTGCATCAAAAAAGGGACAATTCTCATTCATGAAGATCATCAACGATAGAATCAACAATGCTGCAAACCCATAATTTTTCCAGTACGAGTATTGTCCTTTGTGTATTCATATGCACATTTACTTCTGCTCAGACTACCGTACTTTTAAAAAAGATCATGTGATCAGTCAATGCCAAGGTATTGGTCATGTGATCCAGCAACAGAGGCAAAACAAATTGTGTTTAAATGAGAATATTATGTTTACTACTTTAAAAGCCTCCATGTTTGGAGGCATTAAACCATGTTTGAAAGTTATAAGAATCAATAAGATCACACAGCAAACGCATCCCTCCCATATAGTAGCCAGTTATTTGTATGTGATAGAAAGAACTGCAACTTCATGAATCTTCGCTACGGATGTGAAATAATTTCAAGGCAGGACACTGCAAGTCTCACATCAGCAGTTTTATTCCTACATTTTTCATCCATGAATAAGAGGGCTCCAGATTCCAGTAGTTCAGAAATGTAAACTCAGCTAGTGTTATTGATCAACATCCCTAGGAATTGTTGAGCAAGCGTCACTGCAGAAATGAAAAGACAGGCAGAGCTGTGAAACAAAGATTGCCAATAAACCAAAAGAACCCTACAAGCAGAAAAAAAGAAGTTGGCTCTTGTTAGCAAATAAAATGATTGCCTCTGCTTTCACCTAGTGTTCCATTTTAGTAGGATTTTCTAGCTGAACTATTTTATTTACAGAACAGCAAGTCCTACATGCACAGATCAGATCAATGAAAGGTATAATGCTGTTCACAGCAGCTGTCAGTTTCAAGTGTACATTAGTACAACATTTCTCACAAAATCAGGAGCAACTTATTAAGTCCTATGAAGACCATAATGCTGGCAGATTTACCCAGTGGTACACCCAGTCTTGTATAACCCTGTACCATGCCAATGACGAAAGCAAGCAAACTGAAACCATTTATGATCAGAATTCGTATAAATATTCATATATATGTATAAATTCAGTCTGTTGGTTATTTATGACTTCTTTTACACGAGTGGACAGGGAGTAAGGTGTAAAAACAGGAGAGTTGAGGAGGGTTAACAGTTTTACAGCCACCTAGACGACCCACATAACGCCTACTATACAGCCAGAGGGGGCTTTTCACATGCTGTGGAAAATGTATTGCGGCATTCCGAGTTGACAGGAAGCGCCGTTGCTACAAAACTCGCCCATTAAAGTCTGCGGGGCTGTGCCACAACCTCAAGCCAAACCCTTGGATTGCGTTTGTGGCACATTAGTGAAAAGTGCTGCTCTGCAAAAATAAAAACAAAAAGCACAACGATTCCCCACTGAGTGCTTTTCAGAGAAGTGTGAACTAACAGAACCATTTTTTATGTATTCATTAACATCTGCAATCGCTACATGATAGTACAGTAGATCCACAGATATAAGAAATAATGGGAATGATTTAATACGGGTGCAGTGCTGTGTAATAAAAGTTCACTTCATTTAAACTTTAATAAATCATCCCTACTACATTAGACTGCAATATAGGACACACAAGAAGTTGGCTTAGCATATTGCTAATCTGCAAGGAATATAAAAAAAAATAAAACCCTTACCTTAAGCACAACGTCGCCTTCCTGAATATTTCCATCTCTCGCTGCCAGACTATCTTGAGAGATTTCCTTTACAAAAATATGGCTGGCTAATCTTAAACCATATTCTGAAAAAACAAATCGTACACAAAACACAGTTATCCTACAGGTAGTATGGTACAAATGATGCAGAAGGACAATACCAGGAACAGACATGCCAAATATGGAGTACTTTAATGGAAAAGTGGTGCAGTCATCTCTCCTAAATCAGAAACTGTATCATTCAGTGCTCTGTGGCAACCTGCTTCATTAGGACATTTATAGGCCCATCAGGAATCAGTAAAAGTAGTAAAATAACTGGAAGACAACAGGAACCTGGGAATGCTGGGTGCAGCTGTCCATGCCACTCAAGTGTGCACACAGACACAGCAAGTCTTGGAGCAAAGTGTACTAAAGATGTCTGTAAATCAGGACTGCATGACCATGTATAACTGCGGAATTAGGCCTCATTCACAAGGGCGTACTATAGCATATGCTCATGTGATGGCTGTGTTCACAAGTGTTTTCCCATGCAGGCAGGCCCATTTAGGTTAACTGGGAATCATCGGCTGCAGGAAACAGCCCCTTCTTCAAATTTGGCAGCTGTGTGACCGCAGACAGTATGCATTTGGGCTGCACACCCACAAGGCTGTCAAAATGGGACCAGTGGCTGTGTCTGTACAGCCGCTGCATCCCAATCGACATGAATGAGACTGCATGCATGGGTATGCACAGAACACCTGAGAATGCCTGTGTGGGCAAACACAGTACTGGCACCGGCATATGCTATAGTACACCCGTGTGAACAAGGCCTAAAGAATACCATGAATATAACATACCTTCATTTTTTCTAGATTTCACCAAGGTCACTTTGGTAGGTTTTGGAGGTTGACTGGAAGCGACAGATCTTCTGTCTGATCTAGGCGACAAACTTCTTTCTCTGCTGGCACTTCTGTCCCTTACCCAGCTCTTCTCACTCCTCCTGCTGGCACCAGGGCCACTGTGGGCACTTCTCTGGTCAGGCACCTCATCCTCGTAACTGTCCTCCTCATTTTCAGATGCTGGCTCTGGGTCAGGGCGAACCACAGGAAGCTGAACTTTTTTCTTCCGTCGTATAGTCTGGAAAGGGTTTGATTAGGATGGTAAAATAAGATGCCAGGTTTAATTACATAAGAAACTGAACTGCAATATGATTACTAGTATTCCATCAGCTGCTGTGCAAAAATATGAGGAAAGATTAATTAAGCATGTTGAGCAATTTGTTTCAAAGAAAATGCTGATCATGCATAATTCAGATCAATCTAAGAACCGCAAAACCAGTCTCATAAAAATGCTGTCAGGGTGCCCAACTCTGAACAATGGATAAAATGATGTGGAATTTATGAATTGGGTTCAACACTGGATGTATGTATGCCAAGCTAAAATATGTGACACTAACATAATATACATTTTAATCTTTAAAGTGCCAAGTTTAAAGCAACCACATTAAATTACCAACAATCAATATCTGACCCATAAAAGCAACCTCTACTTATAAAGCTAAAATATTTCTAGAAAGCTTTTCAGGAACGACTTTAATGAATCTTGGACTGTCTGCACAGGCCAGGAGTCAGGACAAACAGTATAAGGAAATAAAATGAACAGAGTAATAAGAAATAAAAAAACAAATAACTTACAATTTTGGCATTTTTTACCACTCTTTCTCAACTGTTGAACAGCAAACGCATGCTCAACATTATCCATGGACACTCCATTGACCATTGCAACACGGTCATTTTCCCTGAAAAGACAATACAGAAAGCATTAATGTTTTAATTTAGAGTTGAACTTTATTTTCCATTTATTTTTTTTTTTTTAGAACGGGCTTTCTAACGTAATTATGTATTGTAAACCATACCTAGATTGTCCAATGGTCTGCACAGTTATATAACATAAATCTATACTGCAGTCATACCTAGCTTGTAGTGCTCATAATCAGTACTCACTGTTGCTGTCTTTATAGTAACTATATTAGATTTAGTGGTTCTTAAAGTGGAAGTAAAGGCAAAACCTAACTAACCACTCTGGTCCAGTCTTCAGTGTGTAGGAGAGGCAGGCGACAACGGAAGCACCATACTAAGTCTATGGGTGACTTCCCAGGCATTTCCCAGTTGTCGACAGCTTTCTCCTACACACAGAGGGTGCTACTGGAGACCAGACCGGCGCAGATGCAGAATAGGCAAGTATAGCAATATTTTCTTTACAATGCTAGAGAGATTATGCTTAGAATGTGGCTGAGAGTAGGTTTAAAGTTAGTTAGGGTTTTGCCTTTACCTCCATTTTAAGCACAGTGGTCTTATAGGTCAACACAGATGTCAACAAATTCAACTGCAACCCACGTATGGTGAACACATGTACTGGCACAGAGGGAGATTTATTAAAAACCGGAGCACTCAGAATTTGGTGCAGCTGTGCATGGCAGCCGATCAGCTTCTAACTTCAGCTTGTTCAATTAGGGCTTTGACAATGAAACCTGGAAGACGATTGGTTTCTGTGCAGAGCTGAACCAGATTTTGCACCATAAAGTTTTAGTAAATCAACCTCCAATTTATCCTAATGTCCCCATAGACAAGAGAGGACAGTCAGCTGGGCAATGTTTTCATGCTTCCAAACACCCTGTAGACAAGCCTGTTAATATTTCTTAGGGAGTCAAGTTATCAAAAACATTGGGAAACCTTTTTATACAACTATAATTTTGACAAAAAATTAGACTTTGCTTTACATGCTTAACACCATTTCCTGAGCCAACGAAAGCCTCTGCTCAAGATCAAATTCCAGCTCAGGTCAGTAATTAGAGGGGGCTGATTACAGGTTTTTTTTTTTACCTTAAAAGGAAAAAGTACAGCCAAAGCGCTTTTGGTTGTACTTCTGTGGATCACAGGAGTGCAGTTTGTTCTTCACTCCTGTGACCCGTTTTCAGCTGACAGTGGGCTGAAGCCCGCTTTTGGCTGCCGTCACTCAGCCAGTCCAGGCTGGGGAAAGATCCCAAATTTAAAGTTGGGATCCACCCCAGAATCTTGAGCGGCACCTGGTTCTGCCTCTCTGCAATCTGCTGAGAGCCTGACTCAGCCACTTCCTTGCCCTCCACAGCCCAGCGCTCCAGTGAGCGCGGGTGAGAGGGTGTCAGAGCAGACAGTCACCGCTTTCTGCTCAGAGCGGCAGTGAGAACTCAGAGATCAGCAGTCATGTGATTGTTGAGCTGTGTATGAAAAAACCCTCAGCACAATGCACCTCCTACGAGACAAATCTTGCAGCTAGCATGTAATGTGTTCCCACATGTAAACCATAAATCAAAAAAATGCAGCGCAATACTATAAACTCAAATATGGTGCTACTAATATCCAACGTGCATAAACGAATAGTGAAAACAAAAATTGTGCTGCTCAGTGACAATAATATGTGCTACATCAAATATATATTAACACATACCATATGAATACCCATAAAACTGCATATATCAGTGCAAAATGAATAGTGTACACAAATATCAAATTAACTGTTTTAAATAGTGGACTGTCCCTTTAACACCCCAATATCTTCACATGTGCTTGTGCGGTATATCTCCTGTGCATCTTATACCAAACATACCATCAATAAGTGTCCCAAAATTATGATTTCAAAATAATGGTGAACCATCTCTTTAAATCTGCTGTACTCCAGGTGAGTCTGTGTGACCATGCTATGTATATACACATGTACGGTGCTCCTGTGTCCCCACTTAGTGCTCATCCACCTCTGACACACTATTGCGTTCACCTTCAAGTTTGATCTGAAATACCAGGTCAAACTATGCTTTTCCCTTTAACCCGGGAGGGTATATTGATACCAAGATCTTCACCACTGTCAGCAATCTCCAGAACGCTCCACAAACATATGAAAAAAATTATCCCTATAGTGAAGTATTACTAAATAAAACCGACTTTATTAAAATAATCCAATACACTCACATTTAAAAGTGTGATGAAACTCCTGATGAAGTCACATGATGAAACTCCTGATGAAGTCACATGACGTGAGAGAACTCGTAGGGTAAGCTGATGACGTCAAGCCACAAACCGAAAGTGCACATGCTGCCATTTTGGATAGGGGAATCCTGCACTTTATTCTAAAGTTACACAGTATAGTGAGTTTTTACCCTGCGATGTCCCAGGTGGACACTTTTAAATGTGAGTGTATTGGATTATTTTAATAAAGTTGGTTTTATTTGGCAATACTTCACTATATGGAGCATTTTTCATATGTTTGTGGAGCGTTCTGGAGATTTTAAGTGCTGACGGTGGTGAAGATCTTGTACCAATATACCCTCCCGGGTTAAAGGGAGGGAAAAGCGTAGTTTGACCCGGTATTTCGGGTCAAACTTGAAGGCAAGCGCAATAGTGTGTCAGAGGTGGATGAGCACTAAGGGGTGACACAGGAGCACCGTACATGTGTATACAGTAGCATGGTCACACAGACTCACCTGAAGTACAGCGGATTTAAAGAGACGGTTCACCATTATTTTGAAATCATAATTTTGGGACACTTATTGATGGTATATTTGATATAAGATGCACAGGAGATATACCGCACAAGCACATGTGAAGATTTTGGAGTATTAAAAGGGACAGTCCACTATTTAAAACCGTTCATTTGATATCTGTGTACACTATTCATTTTGCACGGATATATGCAGTTTTATGGGTATTCATATGTATGTGTTGATATATATTTGATGTAGCACATATTATTGTCACGGAGCAGCACAATTTTTGTTTTCACTATTCGTTTATGCACGTTGGATATAAGTAGCACCATATTTGAGTTTATAGTATTGCGCTGCATTTTTTTGATTTATGATCGTTGAGTTCTCACGCTTAGAGCCGGCAGGGAACCGATGCTGCATGCACCTAGGTGAATGATTTTTTTTTTTTCTTCTTAAAGAGATCCCATACTTTTCTTTTTATGTAGAGAATGCACTAAGGTTAAAAAACATCCTGCCTTTCGAACCACTTGAACCTCTTTACCAATGGGATTAAAAATATAAGTAATACAATAACCTATTTTTTTTGTAGGGAGCGGACGTTGGATTCCCTTTGATATTAGTCTTCATACCAGATCTCTGATCCTCCAATGACAACCAGAGGTTTGTGCAAGTATGATGTCCCCAGCTTTTGCTGGATTATCCTTATGGACAATGCATTCCAAAGAAGGTAACCAAGAATTTCAGTTCACAGACATTTGCTGTCATGGTAGGATAGGTGGTGTGCCAAGACCTCCCCATGGGAAACCAGCTAAAACCCAGCAGAAAATCTGACCCCGCGTTACCTCTGCCAAAGCTGAGCAAAGAATTGTGTAGAGTTCAAGACAAAGTACAAGTAATGCTACTTTGTCCATCTCTTTCAAGGCCAGTCAAACACAGCAACATAGAGGACGTAGACATTATCTTAGTTTCCCAAGTAACATGGGCTTTCTTAAGCCATCATCTATGCGGTCATCCTATATGTAGTGGTTCCTACGAAACTAGTATATTAGGGGTTCAAAGGTAAAGAACTATATGGTCCCCAAAAAGGTTGCTGACACCTGAGGACCACAGCATGTGAGTAACTCTGACAAAGCACCTGACCAATCTACAATACTACAATTACACCTTCACATTACAAAAGAAAGAAGATAATAGGGAAAATTAAATCTTTTTTTTTTCCTGAAAACATAACAAACATTTTACATGCTACCAATAAGAAAACTGAGCCATTAAAAACACAAAGTATCTTCTGTTTCAAAAGGTGTTAATGTAGTGTTCATACATTTTCAGCTAGCCATGCTAATGCAGTTAAAATAAAACGAAGTGTGAATGGCATATGCATGAATTACACAATAACACCTTTACTTTCAAGCACAATTTTTTTTCTTTACAGGTTTACACTGCTTTACTTTAAGCTGCAAAGGGAACCCTGCTTTAAAGTTTAAGCTGAACGGAGGCGGCATAAACTGTAAATGCAAAACTACTAGCTGAAATCTGAGCAGATGGAAGAGGAAAGCCAGCAAAGAAAATATGAAGCACATACTTCTAGGAGGTGCAGTATGCCCAAAGAAAAAATGGCTGAAATAACGTCACAAAGCGGCAGCCGTCATGCTGCATACTGTTTTACTAGACTCGTGTCTGTCTGTTGGCACTGGCTCCATAGATAAACAGTGGACATTTGAGAGTTTCCTTTTCTATTGGGGAACTGTTGCTTTCCCCAATCCTGACCAACTCCCATCTAAAGTCGTATGAGTAGTAATATATCAACACTATGCATAGAAGAATGAAGCTTGACAAGTAAAGAGAAAGAACAGTTTGAGAAAACTTCTTCCAACATAAAACGCAAGGAAACCCAGACACTAAAACAGAAACTACCTTTTTAGTCATAGGGGTATGAAAGTTCTACTGATAGCACTATGAAGGAATCAAATATACGGTGAGTTAACAATGCAGATATAATATATAAAAAAAACAAAAAATGTTTAAAAACTTTAAAACCTCACATTTTTAAAGTTGAGTTCCCCTCAACCTAACAAAAAATAAAAGTCAGCAGCTACAAAAACTATAGCTGCTGACTTTTAAAAAACAGCCACTCACCTGTCCCTCGGTCCCGTGGTGTGTCCCCTGCAGCTCGTTTCACCGGCCGTCCTGTATTCCAGGAGGCCGGCATCTTCAGTGTGGGCACTCGGCTGTGATAGCTTGCGGCTTCACAGCCAGGTAACCTCTGCGCATGCGCGAGT